GCTTCAGACCAGAGATTCGCGACTGGGAGCGCTCAAAACTCCAATCCAAACTGCCTCTTGCTCTTCGTCACGATCATCCATCAAGATCTTCACATCATCACCGAAATCAAGATGGCGGAATCTAGCAAGGCAATCAACCCTATGAAGGTTAGTATGACCCCCGCCTATGCCGATACAATTTCGACACCTCGACATCTGCAGCCCATCGACTCTTTGAAATCGCCCTCCTGCATGCACAAAGCTCGAAACATCTACAGCATACCAGCATTGCTTTCCGAAACGCACTAAAGGTCAAAGCAGGGTAGTAGCAGTGGAACTTGATAGCGCTTCCGAATGCACAGATCGGATTTGCTCTGGATATGGCCGTAGAAGTATGTCTGTCGAGAGAAACTTTAGGCAACTCAAAGATACCGCCCTTGATGAATTGTTTTCAGTGGTCGTTATTCCTCAGAGTCTAGAGTTGTTTGGAATGCAGGTCTCTCAAAATCAAAGACGTCGAAGTGGCAGGGCAAGTCACGAGTGTAGGTACATTCAGGACGCCTTGGACAGTACATGCAGCATATAGAATTGGACGTTGTTGGACACTTGGTGGCCTAGCTCATCGCCTCGAAGTCGTCCGCTTCAAGAGGCGAGACGGCAGTAGCCTCTCGAAGTATACTTCGAGAGATCGCCGTTGCTGACAGAGCATCAAATTCGACATCCAAGGCATCAGCATCAGACAGAGCGCGACTAGCGTTGCGGGCAGCGTCTCTTATATACCGTATTCAGCGGAAACAACCCAGATCACTTACTGACCCTCGCGTTTGTCACTCGTGCCCTCAATGATGTTTCCGACTATTCACAGGAGCTCAAGGTCGACAAGCTCGTCGTCAACATCTCGGTTGGTGAGTCGGGTGACAGACTCACCCGTGCCACCAAGGTGCTTGAGCAGCTTACTGGTCAGACCCCCGTCACCAGCAAGGCCCGCTACACTCTCCGTGGTTTCGGTATCCGACGTAATGAGAAGATCGCCTGCCACGTCACCATCCGAGGCCCCAAGGCCGAGGAGATCATCGAGCGTGGTCTCAAGGTCAAGGAGTATGAGCTCCGCCGCCGCAACTTCTCCGACACTGGTAACTTCGGTTTCGGTATCACCGAACACATTGACTTGGGTATCAAGTACGACCCTTCGATCGGCATTTTCGGTATGGACTTCTTCGTTTGCATGACCCGTGCCGGTGCTCGTGTCACTCGCCGCAAGCAGCGTGTTGCCCGTGTCGGTGCCCCCCACCGTGTCAAGAAGGAGGAGACCGCAGCCTGGTTCAAGCAGCGATTTGACGGTGTCATCATGCGCTAAATAGCTCTACCACCAAAGCCTAGTGCGCCTGCCGTTTGCCTTTTCCATCACATCTTCACATACTTTTCATGTTCACCGCTCGGGTCCTTTGCCTGTGCCGGACCGCCTTGCATCATTCTCGTTGTACAAAACACATATCAGCACCCCACAACCACATGTTATTTGCGCTCTGATGTTAATAGCATGAAAAATTGATGCTCTCGCACGAGCTCAGCTTCTTGCCAAAACCAAGGATCGCGACTGCGCTTGCATGAACGCTGAGACGTACGCGCTCACCGTAATGTGGGCTTCGGTATTGCGTTGTGAGCTCCGGGAAGCAGGAGACACGAGTCGAGTTCAATCCTCGTTCTACGTTGTTTCTGTTCAAGCCGAACCCGTGGGGATGAAATTGTGCGTTGGCTTAAGTACATATGGAAATTGAAAGCCAAATCGGGACGAGCGTCTCTCAAATAAGCCTGTTCGGCCGGCCTTGCTCCCTTGCAATGTTGCGATTGAGGACATATGCATTAACTGGGCACAAGGAAGTCAGGCGATGCGAATAGATTCCCGAAGTGACGATTTTTGAAATTTATTTTTGGTGACGAATTTCAAGCACTTTTTTTTTATCACGAATTCGAATCCGCTATGCTGCCATTTGCTCAAGAGCACTCAAGAGGATACCACTTGACTCTTTACATGTGGTTATGACCAATTGATTATGCAACCAACCTCGTCGATAAGACTGAGCGACACATGGTATGGTTTCATAGCACGATCATGGGAGACCAGGCACAAAGACGGACTGCCAGGCATCGTTATGAAAGAATATTCAAGCATACTTGTAAGGACCGCCCTTTTCGAGACCTCGCTTGAAAGCAGGACGAGCGTGAACTTTTTCGACATAGGTCTTGATTGGTGCAGGAAGATTTGAGATGCGTCCCGACAGGGCAGCCTCGAGTGGGAAAGCCATCTGGAAGTCCGCTGCGGTCGGATTGCCGTCCCTATCACCTCCAGCAAACCAGTCGTTTCCAGAATTGCACTTGTTCACAAGCTCGTCGGCAACGAAGTCAGACTTACGCTTGAGATCAGGGTCAAGGAAGGCCGAATTGACGTTATTGACAATGGCATTGCCTATGGGTCGAACAAAGAAGGGCATCTTGGCAGGAATCATACTGAAGATGAGCTTGGTGACCAATGTGGGCATGAGGGATCCTTCCGCAAAATGATTGAAGAAGACGTCATCGTCCAAGCGTTCGGGATCTGCAGGGACGAATCGACCCTCACCATAGTGGCGGATGAGATAGTCGACAATGGCTCCGGATTCAGCGATAGTCTTGTTCTTGCCATTGTTTGTGTCGGTGATGAGAGGCGACTTGCCGGTAGCGTGAATCTTGAGCAGCTCTTGAGGTGCAGTGCCCTGTGCAGTCCGAGAATAGTGCTTGATCTCATACTGGATTCCCATCTCCTCGAGCAACCAGAGAATTCGCTGAGACCTCGAGTCTTGAAGATGATGAAGGGTAATTGTCATGGTGCAATGGACTAACAGTGAGTCGAATAGAATGGTGTGGAAAGTGGACGCTTGCGAATCAAACTGGATCCTCACCTACAATTGTACTCTGTGTTTCGTATTGAACCCTGATGTCTTTGAATTCAAGATCGGCTTCATGCACGTTCCGGTCGAGCCTGCGCCAACCGCTTTATTAATTTATTAATTAATTTATTTATTTATTTATTTATTTACAAGCGTCAAGGCGATAAACCAAGTCATGTTAGACTTTAAATCTCGAAAGTGTTATATTCTGCCACACAAAAGTGCTCGGGTGTGGTTTCGCAACCAGAGTCGTAAGGAGCGCGGTTTAACATACAAGCGAGCTACGCATCACTCAAATAAAGCTCCACTTGGCTCAGCCCAAAGAGGGTCAAAGAGAGCCACAGTAGTATCACTTGCCCATCATCTTGTCAAGTTTCATTCCTTCTGTCACCTTGTCAAGACCCTTTCTCACACACCTTCCGACCGACTCCTACTACCACCATATCATCATCGCAACCTGCTTCATCACTTGAACTACAATCACTTGTAGACCTGCTCTTTCGCTTGCAACTCGTGCCTCAAAACTCTGAGCATTGCACGCAAACACCTGCGATCTGCTCATCACAGCTTCAGCTCGTCATCCCATCGTACCGCATCAACGACCAATACGAAACAAGAATTGAGAACTATGGCGAGCAAGGCCGCTATCAAGAGAGTGAGTAGCGCACTCGCGCACTAGATCTGCGTGCATGATCCGCTGACCTCCTTTCTGTTCTTTACGCGCATCCTATCTCATGACCACGACAGCTTACCAAGGAGGCACAATTGATGGAAAAGGACCCTCCGCCTCTCGTTTATGCCAGACCGCGTGAGGATAATATTCTTGAATGGTGAGTACCTGTCGCTGCTACATTCTCCAACACAGCTGCGCGCTATGCCAATCGCTTCGATCCATTCGTGACCCCAGAAATCGCTGATACCGTACGATTGTCATTGTATCCCTTTTCTCACAGGCACTACATCCTTCGCGGCCCGCCTGACACCCCTTACGCCGGAGGTGAATACCATGGCCAACTTCTCTTCCCGCCCGAGTTCCCCTTCAAGCCTCCTGGCATCAAGATGCAGACCCCCAGCGGTCGTTTCGCCCCTAACACCAAAATCTGCACTTCCATGAGCGACTATCACCCCCACACATGGCAGCCTGGCTGGAACACCTCAACCATCTTAATCGGTCTGCTCTCCTTCATGTGCTCAGATGAGATGACCACCGGCTCCGTCACCGCCTCTGATGCCGATCGACGCAAGCTCGCGGCACAGTCGCACGCCTTTAATCTGACTCAAAAGAAGTTCTGCCAGATCTTTCCCGAATATGCCGATCTTCAGATCAAGAATCTCCCCAACATGGGCGACAAGAGGTCTATCAATGCAAGCGGGGCTGACGGCGTTGCCTCAGACGCAGCAGGCAAGACAGAAAAGGTGGGATCCGATACCCTTGCTTCGTCACCGGCATCGGATTCTGCTGCATCGCAGGGTGCGTGTAAAAAACGTCACAGAACTGACGACGACCAGCCAGTGTTAGCGACGGATCGCTTCGCCTAAGATCCCGCTGGACCACAAAAGAAAGATGAACTGACTACCGTTCTCTTTGCTCCACCAATCCTGTCCGATGAACAGGCCTGAGAAATCGAGTGTCGCCTTCGACGACTAGCGCAGCAGCGACAAACCATGGTTCTACTGATGCAGATGCCGCACGCAAAGCCGACGAGCCAAGACGTCGCAATCATGGCCGCAGAGATCTGTTCGGGATACGTAGCTCCCTGGTGGTGCTTACCGTCCTAGCATATCTCTTCATCAGTCGTGTGATGAACGCCAGTGCCAATGGTATCGTTTGATAATCCCCACTGCATGCTTCCGTTTTGTCTTTCCTCTTCCTCGCATATCCACATACCAGTCACATTGTTTCCCCACTGCATTTCGATGAGCATCTTTCCCGTTCCTGTTCGAACGCGTCCACTTCAAGAGAATGAGACCTAAGACAGCTCTTGGCTGAGCTGTTCATTGTGCGTGTCACTGCGGACTGGGTGCACGTCGGGTCACCAAGCGGACCAGTGATGACGTTTGGTCTGACAAAAAGAAATTGGTGCCAAAAAGGTGTTCCCGGCCAGGGAATCGAACCCTGATCTGAGCAGTTCCATGGTCCTTTTTAGGGGAACGACTTTGAGAGTGCCCTATACTAACCATTGTACTAACTGGGATTTGTACAAAATTAATAAAGGTTATACATATTATAGTATTTTTTGCATTAAGCCACAATCTGTTATAATAAGAAACATTTTGATCTGGATCGCAAATCTGGCATTTACAACTGAGGCAGGAACCAGAAGGTAACAGTGGTTGTGTTGCTTGCAGTACACCACATCAACAACCACATTTTCTTTTCTTCACAGGACAAGGTGGAGTCTTGCTGTCTTTGCCAGTGGTGCTCTGCTTTGCCCTAGGAACATCCTGAAGCACAACGTCCTTGCTTTTGCTCTTGTTTCTGGTAGTGCTAGGCATTACTCCAGATGGTCTGTCCTGAAAACCTCCATGTTCTTGTGTAGCTTGCCCAATGACTCTCTGCTCCTGCTGCTTTTCCCTTGACTGCCGCCAAAGATGCACTTCAGCTTTGCTGTGGAGAATGTGATTGTCTCAGATATGGACGCCAGTGCTGTTGAGGTTTTTGTCAAAGCATTTAATTATGTTTTGAGACTTGACTCATTGAATCCAAACACCAGCTTGAGGTCTGTATTGCAGACAGAAGCAGCATCTGCAACAGCAAGTTGTGCTTGGCTAGCAATCTCAGAGCATGATGGTGGTCTGAGGGCATCAACAGTCCATTAAGGGTCTGTTGCATGCATTGTTGGCCTCCTCAGAGTTATTGGGTCTAATAATTTCAAGTTCGGAATCTGTTACATCGACAGCGGATGCAAAGTTCGATACTCAAAATCGCACGAACTTACTTCCGGCCACCGGTTTCAAGGCACCGAGCCTTGGTTGGTGAGCCGGACAAACTTCCCCACACGGTGAGCATGTTCAACATCATCCGTCTTGATTCCGTGCTCATTATCATCTTTACACACGAGACACCGAAGAGATCTTCCGTAAAAAATGTTGGACGTCACAGCATCGCGCTTCTACACTACACCGCTTACTACGCCTCCAACCCGCCCGGATGCGACACCGACTCAACGTCGGTATCACTACCTTGACCACCGCCCCCCTAGTGGCGTTCCGGAGGTTGCAACGTTGCTACTTCTCCATGGATTTCCCGACTTTTCGCATGGCTGGCGCAACGTCATTGCGCCTCTGAAGCTTGCTGGCTTTCGGCTCATCATACCTGACCTGCTGGGGTACGGTCTTAGCTCAGCACCTCCCACTTCCGCCGCCAGCACGGCCGCCGGGACTGAACCTCGTCTCGCTGAATACGGTGGTAGGGCGATCTCAATCGACCTGAATGGGCTTCTTGATCATGCTAAAGTAGGCGTTGATTCCGAATACGGTGGATCTCATCTCACTTCGGATGGTAAATATGGTCGAGTCATCGTGTTGTGCCATGACTGGGGTTCGTGGCTGGGCTGGCGCTTTGCCCAATGGTACCCAGACCGAGTGATGGGTGTTTGCGGCTTGTGCGTACCTTTCCAAGCTCCAACATCCAAGGTCTTGCCCATCGACATGGTACTGCGGAATGTACCTAGCTTCGGCTATCAAAAGTTCTTCTCCGAGGAACGAAGCACAAAGATTATTGAACAGCATCTCGATCGTTTTCTGGCGATCATCTACATGATCCCCGGTCTGTTCAGTGCTGATTCTGAGAACGAAGAGGAACTGCGAGACTGGCACCTAGTCGGAAAGCTGGAGAAGCTGATTACGATGCCAGAGTTTTCTGACATTCCGCTCAAGTATCTAGGCCGAATGATCCTGGACAAGGAGCATCTGGATCACTACATCAACGTCTTCCGCAGTAGAGGCATGGAGGGTCCGCTCAGCTGGTACAGAACGAGGGAAATCAATTGGCAAGAGGACAGAGCACTGACCTCAAAGACGCTGCCAGAGAGTCTGCCTGCAATGCTGATTATGCCGAGAGATGATGTGGCCGTGCCGCCGGCGCTGGGAAAGACTATGAAGAAGCACGTTCCACAGACTGAATTTGTTGAGGTGGCAGGCAGCGGGCACTGGGTACAGAACGAAATGCCAGGCGTGGTGGTGCAGACCTTCAAGCAGTGGGTGGAGCGAAGTGTGCTTCCGAACGAGAAGAAGGGCGGCGGTGTGTTCGGATGGTTGAGGAACAAATTGTAGTCTAGATCCGCATTACACAATACTTCGAGTCCGAGCCAATTTTGGATGCTCGTAAGGTAAGCTCAGAAGCGAGTACATGCAGCGGAACAAGTTTAAACGCGTTGAACGTGTGCCCGTGATCTGTGGATCTTTTCTAACTTTAGTCGGCGACATGAAACAGCGCAAGGCTGTGCAAGCAGTGCGGGTTGAATGACTAGAAGTGTCAAATGGGCTAGTCAATGCCTTGATTCAGAAGTTCTTGGCACGACGGACGGTGGAGACCACGTTGGGAAAGAAAAGTCTTGGTGTTGAATCGAGGCGTACGGCAAGTGTGTAGCGGCGAGAAGGGCCACGCGACTGATTGCTGAAACGGTCAGGCACGATATCAACGTGGTGAGTCTTGGCAGCGTCCAGTGAATTGGTCCTTTGCCCTGTACTACACAGACTCAATCCGGATCACGAGACGGGCTGAGAACGTGAGTCGTTGTAGTGGTGCCGAAACAATGGCTTGACTAACTTAGCGACGATGTGGCAAAATCGACCGGTATCGAGAGGATGAGAGAGTCAGGCAGAAACGCATATTTTCCAAGTCGAAGCGATCGAAAGAAGGACAGGGTCGATCTGGTGGAAGACGCAATGACAGTACGGTCTACGGAAACGACGATATGATGCACACGGAGCGAGGAGTGAGGGGTTTTGCGAGCCGGACGCACTACGTTCTCGATAGGGAACAGTCGTCGTCGGAGATGAAGAGAAAAATGATATGAGCTTTTTCTCTGTTACAATGACTTGGCAGTCGAACATTCCGGATTCCGACCATCTCCGACGTCGGTCAGCCTCATGAACACCATACTAGCTTTGGCATGATGATGAGGGTGGCCGAGATGGATCGTCCCGCTTGTCTTCCAACATGCACATGAGATGTGCAGGGACCCTTGAGGCGTGAAAACTGAGCAACTCGGGCCCGATATGCTACGGCTGTTGTTGCCGTTGAAACTGGCATGTCCAACTCAAGAGCCAGGAACGCGGCTTGAGTGATGAGGCAGCTAGGCATACTGCTCGTGCTTCTCCGTATTTTATTCGTCATATTGCAAGAACGGACAGGAGATTTTTGCTCGACAAGCGCTGCAGTTGTAAATTACATGCCGATAAGGGGTGTCACGCGATGCAGAGTAGCATAAGTGGTGCCAGAGCCATACTGGATCAATTGCAGCTCAATCGCCTCTGAATTTCGAGTTCACGAAGCCATGTCTCAAAAGGGTGCTACAGTCCACGAGTCAAAGGTAGGATAAGGTTAGCTCTTGTCAGCGTAAACACGAAAAGTGGAACTATTCGGGACAAGCCTAGACTCGTGTGAATCTCTTGTGTCGGGTAGTATTAGTTCAGTAGAGTGGCTACAGTATGTTTGACGGCTGAAAAAGATTTCCTCAGCAGACTAGCGCGCGTACCGCCTGTTGCGGGTCATCCGACCAATGTGAAGTTGTCCTCGACAGAGCCTCTCATCCTCCTCTACCTCTTGAGCTTACAGTAAACTGCAGGCGTAACAATGTTGTGACTTATGAAAAAAGAATCGTTGCGGGTGGGAAATTAATGCCACGCTTTAATTTGATTCTGTCTACAGGACGAATGAAGGTGCGACGTTTTGGTTGCCTTTCGACATTATTTGAGTCGCTTGGTTAGTGTAAATTACTATAATTTTACGTAGAGCATTTGCTGTACCTGAGTATTTAATTAATTTCAATCCAAATCTGGCTTTGCAACACTGATGACGTGCAGCAGCAAAAAAAAAAAAAAAGTCCAGATCTTTAGACTTGTTTCCACACAGGCCACACCGTCATTCCTGCATACGCTGCATCTTGTTTAGTTTCTCTCACATGTCAACACAGCTTTAGTGTACAGTATGTGTGTGTGTGCGTGTGACTCTTCCTCTCTTTTTCTGCATCGGCACCCCGCTTCCGCCCCGCTCTGTTTCCAAATATTGTCTCTTCTGGGCAGGCTTACAGTACCTTCGACCTTGGCGGCTCTGTCAAAATACCTCTTCTTTGACCAGGACACTATACTGTAAATTCACTGTAATGTAACTTATTTAATTCTCTACTGCACAGCAACTTGGCCTCGGTATCTTCTCCCTTTTCTTCCCTTTGCCTTCCGCTCCGGAGCGCGGTTACGCCTCTCGAAGTTACAGATCACTTATCTCCTGCTGGCTTCTACCACTTGTTTCCTGGTCCGCTTCCCCCGCTCTAACGACATAGCAGCCCTCTGTCCTCTTTCACCGTCATCTCCACCATCTCATAACGTTACACTGGCGTCTCGGTCCCCACTTCTTGCGACCCCTTCACTACCATCGTCGCAATCTATCATCCATCATCCTGACGCAGGTCACGATCACCACCAACCCCGTGACGATCAATCATTCCGTATTTTGATCTGCACCGACTGATACCGGGCTTACCACACTCGCATCTCTTTCAGTCACGTCTTTGCTCCCGCCGATTGTCCTGTTTTCGGGCACACTCAATCACAATGCACGCCACAGAAAAGAGTCGTCACTCGACCTGCTCCACAGACGCTGGCTCGTCCCATAGCCACCAAGATACACGCCTCACACACGTCGTATCCACTCAGTCCACCATCTTTAACGACCCAAAGCTAAAGGAATCCGAGCCCTCGCTTTTTTTCTCCACTTCTGACGCTGCCCAAGCTCGCAGCCCCGTCACGACGTCGTCACCTCAAACCTCATCTACTCCATCACGCACCCTCGCCTCGACCTCGGCAGTATACCTCAACACTCTCCTGGTCAGCGGACAACGCAAATCATGGAAATTCTCCTCTGGTGACACTGTAGAGGCGGTGCGAAACCACATATTCCTTAATTGGCCCGAGTCCTGGCCTCAACCCAAACCCGAGTCTGCTGCCTACCTCAGGCTGCTACACCTAGGTC